TAATTGTTATTATTTTTATAGTAATTTATAGTAATATTAAGTATTTATTATTCTAATATTTATTTGTGTTATAATTTCCGCGTTTCGCACGTTCAAATTGAGCGTCATTAAAAAAATCAGCTGATAATTGGAACGTCGCGTTGGCGGAGGTATCAGCGGTTTCACTTTGGCAATTCATATCGAGAGACGTGGTTGTAGAAGTCCTTCAACCTGATGATGAGCTAAAAGGCTCGAAATCCGGATCGTTGCAAAACAACTTACTGTGAGTAGGAACTATCCTTTTAAAAAGTATTAAACAATGATAACTCCAAAAATGAAGAGTTTTGGACAAATCTGTTGATATCATCGAAAACCACGTTAAATTTCCAGTAAGATGTGATCAATACTAAACTTAACGTTGGTGAAATAAGCGTTTTGGTAAAGAGAACTTTGGAAAAAAAAATTTTTTCAACGTTGAAAAACATACTATGGTGATTCTATACCACTATTTCCAAACCTAGCGACCAGCAGATTTCAGAGAACGTACTCCATTTAATATCCTTTTTAGTGGTGTAATTGCTTTTTTAAATTACTTTTTTTTAAAGGTGAAGAAATTGATCAAGGAAAAGAAAAAATCGTGGTTGAAGGATTGGTAAGATGGAAAGATTTTTAAAAAAATTTAAGGAAATTTTGAATAAATTTATTAAACGTTTTGAATCTTAAAACTCTTTTATTCAGTCAGTTTATGCAGTCGTGTTCGTAAATCAGTAAACACTTGTACTATTTCGGTTTCGAAACCAAATTTTAAAAAAAGTGAATAATTTAATTCAAAATTTTTTTTAAGGATTTTTTTTTTACCACCTTACCAATCCTTCAACCATGGTTTTTTCTTTTCCTTGATCAATTTTTTCATCTTTGAAAAAAGTAATTTAAAAAAGCAATTACACCACTAAAAAGGATATTAAATGGAGTACTTTCTCTGAAATCTGCTGGTGGTTTGAAAATAGTGGTATAGAATCACCATAGTATGTTTTTCAATTTTGAAAAAAATTACTTTCCAAAGTTCTGCCTACTAAAACGCTTATTTCACCAACGTTAACAAGTTTAGTATTGATCACATCGTTTTGGAAATTTAACGTAGTTTTCAATGGTATGAACAGATTTGTCCAAAACCTTTCAGTTTTGGGGTTATCATTGTTTATTTGCAGCAAGGTCGTGAAATCTTAAAAAAAACAAAAAACGTGAATTAATTCCGAAACTGTTGAAAATTCGGACCATTGTTAATTAGGACTTTTTGGTTTCATTTTGAATGTTGAATGTACTGGCAAAGTTTGTAATACGAGTAGCCTAACACCCTGTATATAAATTCAGAATTCGAAAATCCATTAAAACGAATTTGGCCGGAATAATTATAAATATGAAAAGTCAACAGAGGTCCATTAAGGAAATTGTATAGCCTTTCCAATGTAGTCCAATCCGTCACTATTTTCCAACAAGAGAAACTAAATCAATTCCGTGTTTGTGAACATCGTGTCAAAGGGCGTCCTAACACAAAAAGAATGCATTAGAAAGGATTAGTTTACTTTATATTCCATTAGTTAAGTAACACGATTCATTTTTGTTTGCTTAATTGAAAAATGAACCCCATTTCCAGGATCAAGGACATGACAAACAATGGGTCATAATTTCTACTATTTTATGGTAGTATTTTTCTCGATATACTAATCGATTCTTTTCTGGTAAGGCTTAGAGGGTACAGCGAGCAAGCGACAGACAGAGGAGAGAGAAAGTGAAAAAAAAAGATAGTATAGTATCACAATATAGTCTCTCGTATAGTTTATACAGTATCATCCTTAGTAAGTGTTGTTGAAACATAAAGTTTTTCCTCCCAAATATATTAGCCTAAATAAAATAATTTTATATTACAAACGATCAGGGAAAGCGCTAAATGGAGTCGAATCAATTTTCGTCGAGATTTCAAGAAACACATCCCCTTCATCAAAGCTTAATAAAATAAACAATTCCCGGGTTTCAAAATTTCAAATAAATGTTCATGTTTATTTTCCTTGTAAATTATTATAGTATCAAAGTCCTGTTGGAAAGGATTCGTGGAAAGCTGAATGAACTGTGAGCCAAAGCAAAAACTTCGGCATTGAAGATTTACTCTGCCCTATATTACAGTTTATAAAGTACATCTAGAAAGGAAATAAATTAAACATTAATGTAAGTAAACTGGGTAGAAATTAGTTATTCCTTTCTTGAACTATAAGAAATTTCACAAAATTTAGATCTAAAAATTGTCGACCTGTCTAACGTTTTCGTCTTTTCAAGTCTTCCATGCTGATTAATGCAAAACATAGATATTACTGATGGGTTGATTACAGTGCTCTCTACCTAACCTCCATAATTCTTCGAAATTCCAATAATCCGAAAGGGAAAAAATCAGTATGAATTTGAAAAGTGAACAAATTTTAGGGCGGAGAAAGAGAGTGTGAGATAGAGATGAAAAAAGAAATGAAAAAAGAGGATGAGTGAGAAAAAAGAAAAGATAAAGAAAGTGAGTGAGTCAGAGTGAAATGAAGAGTGACACTGAGTGAGAGAAGAGAGAGAGAGAGGGCGTGAGAGAAAGTAAGTACGTGAGTGAGTGAAGGAGTGATTGATTGAGTGATTGATTAATGATTTATTTATTCTCGCAAAATTTGGTTTACATAAACCACTCTTACTGAGATAGAGAAAGAGAGAGTAAATTAGTAAGCGAGTGAATGAGTGAATAATTGAGTTAGTGAGAGAAAAGAGAGAGAGAGATAAAGTAAGTACGTGATTGAGTGAGAGAGAGGGAATGAAAAGAGAGAGTGCGTGAGAGAATGAAAAGAGTGAGTGAGAAAAAAGAAAAGATAAAGAAAGTGAGTAAGTCAGGGTGAAATAAAGAGTGAGGGTGAGTGAGGGAGAGATAAGAGAGAGAGAGAGAGAGAGAGAGAGAGAGAGAGAGAGAGAGAGCGTAAGAGCAAGTAAGTACGTGAGTGAATTAGTGAGAAAGGGAAAGAGAAAGTAAATTAGTAAGTGAGTGAGTGAATAATTGAGTTAGTGAGAGAAAAGAGAGAGAGATAGAGAGAGAGTGAAGTAAGTACGTGAGGGAATGAGTGAATGAGTGAAAGAGAGAAAGCGAAAGTAAATTAGTAGGAGAGTGAGTGAGAAAAAAAAAGATAAAGAAAGTGAATGAGACAGGGTAAAATAAAGAGTGAGAGTGAGTGAGAGAGAGAAAGAGAAAGTAAATTAGTAAGCGAGGGAGTGAGTGAATAATTGAGTTAGTGAGAGAAAATAGAGAGAGAGAGCAAGTAAGTACGTGAGTGAGTGAAGTAGTGAGAGAGAGAAAGAGAAAGTAAATTAGTAAGAGAGTGGGTGAGAAAAAGAAAAGAGGGGTGAGGGAAAAATAAAGTGTGAGAGTGAGTGAGTGAGAAAAGAGAGAGAGAGAGAGAGAGAGAGAGAGAGAGAGAGAGAGGGAGAGAGAGAAAGTAAGTACGTGAGTGAGAGTAAGTATGTGAGTGAGTGATTGAGAGAGAAAGATAGAATGTGAAAGCGTGAATTAGTGAGAGAGAGCAAATTGGTAAGCGAGTGAGTGGGAGAAAAGAGAAAAAGAGTAAGTACGGTAGTAAGCGAGTGAGTGAGTAAGAGAGAGTGAGAGAGAGAAAGAGAGAAAAAGAGAAAGTGAATTAGTACGCGAGTGTGTGAATGTTTGAGTGAGAATGAGCCCGGGTTCGATTCTCACAAATAAAATTTATCGAATCGATTTTAGTGATCAGCTTAAAAACAACCTAACATTTCAAAAAGGAACCTTTCCTAAAATTCAGAAAGCCCTCGATGCCTAGTGGAAAGGAATAGGGGAAAATCATTCATACAAGGAAAAATATGAAACTTGTATTGAAACTATCAAGGAAAAACGACAACAAGCATACAAAGTCCTGATAATCGTAAGAAAAAAAATTAAACCAGGCCAAATATATTTCCCGTCTTCCACCTTACTTGTCTTTTCGATTCTGTGTTGACTTTTATTTTTACTTCTGAGGTTTTACGAGCCGTTGTTTCTAACTTACTAACTTTTTTTTGCTATTGAGGGGGATGAGAAGTTTTTTCGACATATACCAGTAACGAACGAACTGCCGATTTGAAAAGTTTAACTTTGATCAAATCACTTGATTGTTTCGTGATGAATGATGTATAATGACCAGTCTGATGTATAAAATTAAATGAGTTTCCACATGAGAGAAACGTTACGAGTAGAAATCGTTCGCCCGTAAAATGAAAAATATAAAATAAATTGCGATCGTTTTGTATATGAAACTTTTACTCGACCTGACGCGCAATTTCTACCAACTTATCATATTTTGTCTTAAACGGAGGTGCGTTCACTTTCACTCTATTGAACTGTAACGCCCGAATAGTGGTC